TGGAGCGCTTTGAAGGTGGTAACCAACACCTTGAATCGCACCCGGAAGACCACTGGGAGCCAGGGCAGCTCGCACAGGAGGGGTGTCACGTGGGCACAACGAGTTGCGCCCATAGCCACCCCCACGGCCGCGTTCTGGACCAGTTGGAGCCTCCGAGTGCTCTTCAAGGGGAGCCCCATGTAGAGAGCATTACAATAGTCCAGCCGGGAGGTGACAAGGGCATGAGTGACTGTGCGCAAGGCGTCCCGGTCCAGAAAGGGCTGCAACTGGCGAATCAGGCGAACCTGATAAAAGGCCCCCCTGGCCACGGCCGTCATGTGCTCTTCTAAAGACAGCCGTGCGTCCAGGAGGACACCCAGATTGCGAGCCCTCTCTGGGGGGGGGCAAAGATTCACCCCCAATAGTCAGCGATGGCACCTGCTGACTATATCGGGACTCCGGCAACCACAGCCACTCGGTCTTGGAAGGGTTGAGTCTGAGCCTGTTCCTCCCCATCCAGACCCGCACGGCCTCCAGGCAGCGAGACATCACATCAAGGGCATCGTTGGGGTGGTCTGGGGTGGAGATGTACAGCTGAGTATCATCAGCGTACAGGTGACACTTCACCTCAAAACCACGGATGATCTCGCCCAGTGGCTTCACATAAATGTTGAACAGAAGGGGCGAGAGGACCGACCCCTGTGGCACTCCCCATGCGAGACGCCTCGAGGTCGACCTCTGCCCCCCTGCCAACACGAACTGCGAGCGGTCGGAGAGGAAGGAGGAGAACCACTGCAGAACAGTGCCCCCTATTCCTAACCCCCTCAACCGCTGCAGCATGATACCATGGTCGATGGTATCAAAAGCCGCTGAGAGATCTAATAGGATCAGGACAGAGGAGCAACCCCTGTCCCGGGCCCTCCAGAGATCATCCACCAACGCGACTAATGCTGTTTCTGTGCTGTACCCCTGCCTGAAGCCCGACTGGCACGGGTCCAGATAGATAGCTTCATCCAGGTGTCGGGGAAGCTGTCGTGCCACCACGCTCTCAACAACCTTCGCCACAAAACGAAGGTTGGAGACTGGACGGTAGTTGGCTAATTCAGCCGGGTCCAGGGAAGGCTTCTTGAGGAGGGGCCTCTTTCAAGGCAGCGGGAAAGGCACCCTCACTCAGAGAAGCACTTATAATCCCCTGGAGCCAGCCTCGTGTAACCTCCCGGGAGGCCAGTACCAACCAGGAGGGACACAGGTCCAATAAACACGTGGCAGCACTAATCTTACCCAGAACCCTGTCCACATCCCCGGGAGCCACAGGATCAAACTCCTCCCAGATAATATTCTCAAGACGTGCCCTCGTCTCCTCCCCTGGACTCATCCAGTTGGAGTCCAAGCCTTCCTGAATCCGAGCGACTTTATCGTGCAGAAATTGCACAAAATCCTCAGCTCGACCCTGCAAGGGATCTTCCTGCACTCCCCCCCGAAGAAGGGAGTGGGTCACCCTAAAGAGGGCGGCTGGGCAGTTCTCTGCAGATGCGATAAGAGCGGAAAAATGGTTAGATTTTGCCGCTTTTATCACCACTAGGTAGGTCTTGATATAAGACCTCACCTGTATCCGGTCGGAATCGGATTGACTAGTCCTCCAAATGCTCTCTAGGCGTTTTTTCCGACGCTTCATCTCTCTCTCAGCTCCTCAGAGAACCAAGGAGCCAATTGAGATCGGCATCGGGTCAGAGGCCGCAAAGGCACGACGTGGTCCAAAGCTCCGGCGGCCGCACTCTCCCAGGCGGCCACCAGCTCCTCAGTCGAGTCGTGTGCCAGAGTCTCAGGGAACGGCCCAAGCTCCGTCAGGAACCTTTCGGGGTCCATCAGGCGCCTGGGACGGAGGAGTGGTCATGAGGACTAGAAGTGCCACTTTGCTTTTGCGACCCAAGCCCAAGATTCTCAGAGTGGGCAGAATGACTGCACAGTCCTCCCTTGAAAAATAAATACCCTAAAAGTAAAAGGAAAAAGTTGAGGCTGCATGTTATTATCTTATTCTGCTGTGTGAAAGAGTCAGAAGTCAGTGCTTTTCTTTCTTTTTCCTCTTTCATCCTACAGTTTTTCCTTCCCTGCTTTCTCACTATTTTCACTTGTATTTGTAGTTTATATTTTGATAAACGAACGAAAAAATTGGTAGAAGCATAGAAAGGAAAAATAGATACCTTCAAGGATGCCTGGTGCCCCTTGTGCCCTTCAGTGCCCGTGCCAGCAGCTGTTCCTTGCAGTTGCTTGCTTGTGGAAGAAAACTCAGCCCACGGGGAATGGGTGTGTGTGTGTTGCTTTCAGAGTCATCTTTCTAGTAATTTCTTGTGGTGAGCGTAATTTGTAACACTGAGTTTCATATTCAGTTGCATCTTACAAGGCCAATATAAAATCACAAACACACGGACACTCACACCTGTTTCAACGACTGGGCATGTGCCCGCCTGCTTAAGTCGCACCCTTAACATTTCCACCTCTTGGAAAGTGACTGGCGCACCGTCCATCCTCACCTGCCAGCTGCAGCTCAGCTGTTTTCAGCCACTGATCGGTTTCCAGAACCACAAATCCGTGCATTAAGTTGTCCTACCAGCTCCCCCTTTCCAAGTGACCGAATAGCACCCCTATCCTTCCTGTACAGTCCGTGTTGCCGAAAGCTTCCCTTGGCCCATCCCTCTGGGCTCCCTGGCATCATCCTAGGAGCTGCATGGCACCAGCCCTCCTGTTGCAGACTTTGCCAAATTCAAGTCCAAACTGAGCCCGTTCGGTCAAAATCTGTGTAGCCAAAGAGGGAAACAAGAAAGTGGTTCACGTCTGCAGGGCAATCGGTGGGGATTGAAAGAGGTAAAGGAGTTTCCAAAAAGCAGAGACCGGTTGCACATAGCCAACTCTAGATAGTCCTCAATGTACGACCACAACTGAGCTCAGAATTTCTGTTGCTAAGTGAGACAGTTGTTTTGCCACATTTGATGACCTTTCTTGCCACCGTTGTTAAGCGAATCATTGCCATTGTTACGTTAGTCAGACATTTGTTTGTCAGAAGGTCGCAAAAGGGGATCATGTGACCCTGTGATTGTGATGCTGTGATAGTCATCGTTGCCAGTTGCCAAGTGTCTGAACTTTGCTTACACAACCCTCGGGATGCTGCCACGGCCACACGTGGGAAAAACTAAGCCCCTTTTTTCAGTCACTAAATGAATGGCTGTAAGTCGAGGACTCCTTGTATTCTTTCACTCCACCTCAGCTGCCAAGTTTTGAAGCTTTGAAGCGGCTGCCGTTGTCGTTTCTTGTTGCATCTTGTCTTGTCCAAGAAGAAAAGCAGCCGAGGAATGGAAACTTGGATCCGAGCTCTGATAAACATGCCGATCTTTCTTTCCCTTGTCTCTATTTATTCCCTCTCCTTCCTAAGTTAAAGCCAAATGAAAGTTTTTAAAAAATTGAGGCCCCGTTTCCCCTGCTTTGGCTCTGTTGCTGGCATCCTGCCGCTGGGTGTAATGGAGAGAGAGGGAGGGGCTACATAGGAGTCCCCACCCTCTTCCCGGCTGGGTTCACTGGACCCCCCCCTCCCTCTGAGCCATTGGTCTCCGAGCCGGGCAACTGGATGGCCTCAGCCCAGAGGAGGAAGCAGCCTTTGGCTCACGCCACGAGGTGGACATTCCCCTTTGTTGTGCTCCGTAAAACATGGCCCGGGTCTTTTTCAGAAGCCGAGCCATGCAACAAACTCCCATCCGGCTTCACAATTTTTCTAACTCTAACCCTACCAAGCGCACGACTCCTTCCTCCGGGGCTCATCCGGGGCTGAGTTTAGCATTCTGGAGCAGGGCGCTCCAACCTCCCAGAGCAAAGCTGGCTGAGGAATTCTGGGAGTTGAAGTCCACAAGTCTTAAAGTTGCCAAGGTTGGAGAGGCCTCTTCTGGAGGGTTGCACTCGCTGGTCTTCATTTATCGCTGCCTTTGTGTCCTGCTTGACTTTTCACAACTCCAGACAGTTGATGTGATAAGACGTTGAGTATGTTTAATGCCACTATAAATAGACTGAGGGTTCCGCCTGGTGGTGACTGTAGCTGAAAAATGCCAGACAGGACAGACACCGCTGTTCCTTGGCAACTTGTAAGATAGGCCGACTTTAACTTCAGTGAAACATCTGCAAGGAAACAAGAAGCTCAGAGAACCCTGAGCTATAAATATTCCTAGTTGGTTATCATCACCAACTGCAGAGGTAGGAAATTGGGATACGAAGCATCGCTCTGCGACTCAACCTTCCTGCTGTCTCTGCGTCCTTTGCTTGTCCCTTCCGGGAGGTATTTATCTTTTGGCCCTCCAGCCTGAAATCCTGGTCCCCAGCTGGTCCCCAGCTCTCGGTACCCAGTTTGGAAGGAATCTCTCCAGAAGCAGCTGAGAATAGAATATCATGTTTATTCTAAATCAGGTCACTGTTTTGTGATGGGTAACTAATCACACTTCCCTTCAACGTCTTAATGAGCGCTGCAGTTCTTGGATTTTGTTCTCTGAGCAAAATTTGGTGGGGAGGTAGCAACTGAGCAAAGGTTACAGGGGCCGAATTTGCAGTTTCTTCCCCTTCCTGGTGAGGGAGCCCAAATAGCCGGTCCCACAGATGAAAGGTAGGTCCTCTGGATGGGATATCGATTGCTTTAAGTGTTTGGTCCAAACTAATTTAAAGTTCCTGCTTGTTCAAGCCCACAAGATCTTAGGCAATGATCAGCACAGCCAGATGGGGGCGCCAGATTCCCAGAAAATGCAATTCTACTGTCAGGTGCGCCTGTTGTGGTTTACTTACTGATAGCTTGCTGAAATGTGTGAATGGAGTCATTCTCTTTATTCCTGGGCCTGGGTTCAAATCTGGTTAATATTCTGGTGCTCCCGAGTCTTGTTCCCATGGGGATCTTGTGGGCTGATGCCAAAGTCCATCTTGTCTTCCGGTGGGGCTGCTGGGAGCTGGGAAGCTCTTTCCTCCTGACCAATCGCTGCCTCTTTCCCTTTCAGGAACTCCAAGAAGGAAGGAGACCTGCTCGCCGCCCAGGGCCGCCTGAAGGATGTGGAGGCCCTACTCAACTCCAAAGAGGCTGCGCTCACCACCGCCTTGGGGGAGAAGCGCAACCTGGAGACTGAAGTCCGTGACCTCAGAGGCCAGCTGGCCAAGGTAAGCCAGGCACACCTGTGAAGGTCCCCAATAGTCCCTCTGCTCTGCTCTTTTGGGAGCCTTGAGACAGGAGGGGGCCTGTTTCCCCTTCTGTGCCTCCATCCCGTGTCCATCTTTGGACTACCGGACTCAAAATGTGCCAGGAGGAGTGAGTGAGTAGGCTCAGGTAGACTATGTCTGTAAATGTCTCTTGTGTGGGAGGGGAGGGGTCCTTCTGCTGGGAGACCACCAGCCTTTCACGTCCTTCATGGGCAGCTCCTGCTCCTGTAGATTGCCAACCAAGGCCAATGAAGATGGCAGAGCCAGGGTTAGGCTGGCCAACGTTATTAGGCCTCCATAAAACTGAGGGCAGGTTGGTGGTCTTTGAGTTTTTCCCCCCCTGACAATGGGTCACTGGGCGGCTGTGGTGATTTCTATTTGGCCAGGCTTTATCTTTTTGTGAATTTTGTAATTGTGAATTTAATGTGTGCTGTGTCAGAAGGAGGCCAAAACAGCAGCAAGATTTATAACAATATTTCTCAAGCTTGGCAGCCAAATGATGGGTGGACTTTAATTCCCAGAATTCCCCAGTGAACTGCCAGCTGCCAAGCTTGAGAATCCTTGGTCAGTAAGGACCAGCAGCTGTGCTCAGCTGTGGTTCTTCAAAGGTAGACTACTCCTGGCCATCGACTGTCCTGAATTTGGCCCCTTCATCTTTGAAGTTACGTTGCTCAGACACTCCCTCGCTCAAGTGACCCCAAGCTCCGTCACTAAGGGGGACAAAGCCCCTCCTTCCCTCTGCTTTTTCCACTTATCTCTGTCCGTCCTGCACCCTCTCTGGGCTGTGCTCTAGAACAGTCTGAATGTTACGATCAGCTTAATTTTACCTTCAGTGCCCCGACCCCCTCCTGCTTTGCCCCAAACTGACTGGGGGCTGGAAAAGCTCATCTCTGCAGAAACCAGGTGAGGCCAGCAGGGGGCGATGGAGTCCACCATTTGCCAAGGCAGAAAGGAGGAATGGACTGTTGGAAAGCAAACTGATCCTTCCATTCATTGACCTTTAAGAGGATCTGGTTGTGTGGACTCTTGTTCCCATCATCCGCAGCCAGGGATCTGCCTCCCTGCCCAGGGGCTTTTGTGCATAAGGCGGGACTAGAACTCCCAGTCCCCTGGTGATTGGCCCAAAGTCACCCAGGGGCTTTTGTGCATAAGGCGGGACTAGAACTCCCAGTCCCCTGGTGATTGGCCCAAAGTCACCCAGGGGCTTTTGTGCATAAGGCGGGGACTAGAACTCCCAGTCCCCTGGTGATTGGCCCAAAGTCACCCAGGGGCTTTTGTGCATAAGGCGGGACTAGAACTCCCAGTCCCCTGGTGATTGGCCCAAAGTCACCAGGGGGGAGGGCTTTTGATTGGCAGTCAAGGCCATAAGGGGACTAGAATTCCCAGTCCCCTGGTGATTGGCCCAAAGTCACCCAGGGGCTTTTGTGCATAAAGTGGACTAGAACTCCCAGTCCCCTGGTGATTGGCCCAAAGTCACCCAGGGGCTTTTGTACATAAGGTGGACTAGAACTCCCAGTCTCCTGGTCGCTAGTCTGGTACTTTCACCACCCGATGAAACTGGCTTTCCTTCTCCTTCAGGCTCTCTAAGTCCAGATGTTTTTCACTCCCTACAGCCTCTAAGAGGACGGCAGGCCTTGAGGGAGAGAAGCTAAATTGGGATTGATGGCTCTTCACTAGGGGAAGGGCACCTTAAGAGGATCGGGCTCCTTTGGAGCAAGCTGATGCTACACAGGCTTCCCCTTCCGGGCATGACGGGGTCCCTCATTTGTCCCCCTGCAGTTGGAGGTGGCCTTGGCCGACGTCAAGAAGCAGCTTCAGGACGAAATGCTGCGGCGGGTGGATGCGGAGAACAGGCTGCAGACCCTGAAGGAAGAGCTGGATTTCCAGAAGAACATCTACAGCGAGGTAGGGCCCCTTAGAGGTCATCTAGGCCAACCCTGTCTAGGGCAGGAATTGTACTCCTCAGCTTGAAAAGGGGACTCTGCTGCTTCATAGCTCCCGTAGCCAGGAATTCCTCCTTACTTTGAGTTGGGGTCTCCCTCTGTAAAAGACCCACCCATTCTAAAATAAATTTTATTATTAAGTTTCATTATAAAATAAAAATAGAGAAAAAATGAAAGTTAGGAAACGAAGAGACGGAGACGGAGAGAAAAAGTGGTGACTTCAAACTTTTTCAATACAGGAAATCCTCGCCTTACAGCAGTTCATTTAGTGACCGTTCAAAGTTACAACAGCACTGAAAAAAGGGATGTGTGGCTTGACGGTTGCAGCCGCCATGGAGTCCCCTTTTGCAACCTTCGGACAAGCAAAGTCAAAGCCAGATTCACTTAACAACCCTGTTGTTAATAACTGAAGTGATTCACTTAGCAACTGTGGCAAGGAAGATCATAAAATGGGGCAAAATTCACTTAACAAATGTTTCACTTAGCAAGAGAAATTTTGGGCTCAATTGTGGCCGTAAGTAGAGGATGATCTGTACAGTGGCAAACAACCCCCCCTTCTTTACATTTCACAATAGTTCAATATTTCAGAAATAATAACTAATAAACTGATCATCTGAACCTAAACGACGGAGAATCCTTCTCCATGGGCCGGGAGACTTGAACTCGCCAGACTGCCTTGGGGCAGGCAGTCGGCCCAGTTCCTGCAGCCTTTTCTCCCCACAGAGGAACTGGGGCTGCTGGATCGTGGGGGCTGCAGGTTGGGGCTGGGGGTGGGGAAAATGGGTCACAGTTGGGGGGGTTGTGCCTCCTTGCCTGTCCTGGGATGACCTGCTTACCCGCTGCCCCCTGCAGGAGCTCCGCGAGACCAAACGCCGTCACGAGACGCGCCTGGTGGAGATTGACAACGGGCGCCAGCGGGAGTTCGAGAGCAAACTTGCCGATGCGCTGCACGACCTCCGTGGCCAGCACGAGTCCCAGGTCAAGCTCTACAAGGAGGAACTGGAGAAGACCTACGCGGCCAAGGTAGCACACCTGGGGGGTGGACTCCCGCTCCCATCATCCCCAAGGTGGCACCCTTCTGCTGCCCCGTCCCTTTCAGATGCTCTGGAATCCTCTCCCTCACTGCAGCCTTAAGAGGAGGGAGGCCTTGGGGGGGGGGCGCTGAGGCAGGATGGGGGCCTTGCCGAGTCTAGCTCTTAGCCTTGGGGTGGGGGAGTTCCCCAGTCCTGCCCCGCAGAGCAGCCCAGGCAGCCTTGAGGACTGGCCACTTTGAAATAAGCCAACATCGGCCACCTCCATAATGCTGTTTCTGATCTTTGCAGCTGGAAAATGCCAAGCAGTCGGCCGAGAGGAACAGCAACATGGCCGGGGCGGCTCACGAGGAGCTTCAGCAGACCCGGATTCGCATTGACAGCCTGTCCGCCCAGCTCAGCCAGCTGCAGAAGCAGGTAGGGGTCTCGCGAAGGAGGTGGGGTTCCCCTACCTTTCGGTCTCCGGAAGCAGGGAGTGCCGCCCAGGTGCTTCAATTCGCTTCTGGGTCCCCCTCTGAAGATTGGGGGGGGTACAGGTGGTCCTTGACTTACAACCCTTTGTTAATGACCGTTCAGTGTTGCAGTGGCACTGAAAAAAAAGTGACTTAAGAACAGTCCTCACACTTATGACCGTTGCGGTGTCCCTACAATCACTTGATCAAAATGGGGCACTTGGCAACCGGCACGGATTTAAGATGGTTGCAGCTTCAGGTGATCCCCCTTAGGGACCTTCTTGGCCGGTTTCCAACAAGCAGAGTCAATTCACCCAATGACTACATGATTCACTTAATGACCGTGGCCATTTGCTTAACAAAAAAGCTTGGAAAATCAGGCCATGGACAGAATGGTCGTATGTGGAGGACCGACTGCCTCTTGGGTGCAGCATCCTGTCGGCCACCTTACGGGCCCCCCTTCCTCTCTGAGGCCTCCGCTCTTCCCTCCCTGAGGGAGGACCTCACAGCCTTGAAGCTAGCAAGTGGGGGGAGGCCTGACCCTCACCCTTGCCATCTCTGGGGCAGCCCTGCCGTAGGAGGAGACCCTGCTTGCCCTCCACTGTTTTGGGTTGGGGTGAAAAGGGATTGGTGGTCTGCTCGCCCGGCCCCCTGGGCAGGCCCCCACCCCTCTCTCACCTTCCTCCCCCCCAGCTGGCGGCCAAGGAGGCGAAGCTGCGGGACCTGGAGGACTCCCTGGCCCGAGAGCGGGATACCAGCCGCCGCATCCTGGCGGAGAAAGAGCGGGAGATGGCTGAGATGCGGGCCCGCATGCAGCAGCAGCTGGACGAGTACCAGGAGCTGCTGGACATCAAGCTGGCCCTGGACATGGAGATCAACGCCTACCGCAAACTCCTAGAGGGCGAGGAGGAGAGGTGGGAGCCGGCGGCCTGGGCACACTTTGCAAACTAGGCAGACCACCTTTGCCTGGGGGGCTTCACCAAGCTGGGCAGGGCCCCCCACCACAGGCAGTCTGGGACCTTCAGGTGTGACCCCGGAGGGTCTGCTGGAAAAAGGTTGCCTCCCTCATTGAGGTTTCAGTTCATATTTGGAGAGATCTGGGGCTTGCCCGGCTGCCCCTCCTTTGGGGGGAGCATTTTGGGGCCCTTCTAGGACGGGTTGGGCAGAAAGGTCAGCTTGGCTTGAGCGCTTCCCCCAGCACTGAGGGTGGGCACTGCAGCCCTTCTGTTTGCTGTGGGGAGCGCAGGTGCATCCCTGGGGAAGTAGCCTCTGCCTCAGCCCCCTGCCTCTCTCTCTCCCCCCCAGGTTGCGCCTCTCTCCCAGCCCCTCCTCCCAGAAGAGCGGCTCGCGCATCCGCGTCTCTTCCTCTGCGCAAAGCTCCACCAAGAAAAGGAAGCTGGAGGACGGCGAGAGCCGCACCAGCTTCTCTCAGCATGCCCGGACCAGCGGCCGCGTGGCCGTGGAGGAGGTGGACCTGGAGGGGAAGTTTGTCCGGCTGAGGAACAAGTCCAATGAGGTGGGTGCTGGTGGCTGGGGGTCCAGAACCCCTGGGCCAAGGAGGGCTGAGGAAGCCATTTGCTCCTGGGGGGGGGGTGTTAGGGGGCATAAACTGATCTTCGGAGCTGCAAGAGGCAGCCGTGTCTTTGTAGGGTGGACACCCCCAAGATCCTGTTGTGCAGCCTCCGCCTCTTTTTAAGCTGGCCCCCTAAATGTGGGATGGGATGGAAAAGGGAAGCGATGTAGGAGAGTGGAGGGCAGCTGTGCTAAGAACAGCAAATTCTAATCTAGTTTAAAGTTTATTTAAATGTATTGCCCACCCAACTCCAAGAGAAATGGAAGAAAGCCCAGTTTAGCTTTTGATTGCAGAGAGTCTCTACAGCTCAGTCTTGAACTGTGAGTCCTTGGTGCTCTCTGAGCTGGGCTGTTTTTTGCAGACGTTTCATGACTCAACTAGGTAACATCATCAGTGCTAGAAGAAAATGGGGTTTGGTCTCTGTTGATGAACAACAGCCTGCCCTGCCAGTGATTCTGGGGCGGGGTGGGGGTGGGGTTCTCCTAGGTGGTTCGTTGATTGAAATATTGTTTTCTGTTTGTTTGTCTGGGGTTAATCCCTGCTTATCTGGGTGTTGTCTGCCAGAGGGGATGTGTTTGGTCTGATGATGTTACCTAGTTGGGTCATTAAACATCTGCAAGAAAACCACCAAGCTCAGAGAGCACTGAGGGCCCCACAAATTAAGTTTTGTTGTGGCTTCATGGCTACTTTTGAGCTGAGCCCCCCTCCCTGCCAGCCATCCAGAACCTGGGAAAGGAGATGGCTTACCTCCCTCTGAGCACATTGAGAGCTTCCTTGAGTTTGCAATGGTGAGCTGTGACAGTTGGATTCTGGCTATGGCCAAAGTACCTGGCAGACTCCAGGCTGCCACCAATGGAATCTCTCTGGCTTCTGGTCAACTGGGATGCAGAACGTTTTTATATATAACTTTATTAAACTTTTGAAGAAGCAAGATAAAAGCTAACAAGAACTAATAGAGTTAAAGAGAGAAGAAAAAAGAGGACAAGAAAAAGACAAAGCCAAGAGTGGAGAAAGAAAAGAGAAAGAAAAGATAAACTTCAGATTGTCTTTTACAAGAGTTATTAAGTACAAATGTAAATTAACCGCTCACTCTCTGGTTACAGCCCTACTTAACCTGCTTCTGCCTTCTATTTCTTTTCCAATTGTCAAAGCCAGGGATGGACAACTTGTAGGAGAAGCTGGCTGCAGCTCTTTAGGGTTGGGACCAGTCTGGAGAAAATCTCTCAACTTGACTTTAATTTTTTTGGGGGTGGGGTGGATTTTATGATTCTTTTGATGTGTTCCTGCAATTGTTTGCAGTGTTTTTAAAGGTTAGGCCCCAAATGTAGAGCTGCAGCCACTTTTCTCCTTTTCTTTCCTTTGAAAGAAAGTTTCAGTTCTGAAACTTCTTGGATGAAAAACAAGACATAGCCCAGCCCCCCCCCCGCCTGCCTGGCATCTCTTGGGCTACCCTAAGCCCCAGTAGCTACCATGGCTCCTCGTTTGTGCCCCCTTAGGACCAGTCGCTGGGAAATTGGCAGATCAAGCGCCAGAATGGAGAAGACACCCCCATTTCCTACAGATTCCCTCCCAAATTCACCTTGAAGGCCGGCCAGCTGGTCACGGTGAGCAGCAAAGGTGGGCTTGGTGGGCAGGAAGGGTGGGGTCCCGGGATGGGAGAAGCAGGAAGGGGGACGAGGTGCCAGGTGGAGCCTCCCACCCTTCTGGTGCCTGTGCCAGCCGTGGGGAGCTGCTCTGCAAGGGTGATCAACCTCTTCTCTTCCTTCTCCTGCAAGATCTGGGCTGCTGGTGCGGGGGTGTCCCACAACCCCCCCACGGACATGGTCTGGAAGAACCAAAGCTCATGGGGCTCCGGCGACAGCTTGCGCACAGCCCTGCTCACCTCCAACGGGGAGGTAAGGCGGCTGGGAATTGGGGGGTGAGAGGGCGGAAAACCCCACGGTGTCTCGTTGTGAAGACTACTGTGTGGGTGGGCAAAGGGGTAGACCTTGCCATTGGAAAGGGGACAGAGCATTATTGAATTTATTCCATTAATTAAATTAACCTACCATGTTTCCCCGAAAATAAGACAGGGTTTTATTTTCTTTTGAACCCCGAAATAATACAGCTTGGCCTTATTATTGGGGGAGGGGTGGTCTTATTTCGGGGGTGCAGGATGCCCCGGGTGGCCTGCGCATTCAGAGCCGGAAGTCCAGCAGAGAGAGACTCCCTCCATGCGCCGCCATCAAGCCCCTCCCCTCTTGCAGGGTGTGTGTGTAGAATGCGAACAGCCCAAAAACGCCAAGACGTGTGAGTGCCTGCCCCCCCCCTCGCACGCCTCCCAGGCCTCACCATGCTGATGTGGGTGAAGCTGGTGAGCACCAGGTCCTTGAGGAGCTCATAGCCAATGCCGCCGGAGCCCACCACCAGCACCCACACGGAAGCCATAGAAATATAGGCGGAGTTATAATTACAAAAAATTAAATAGACTATTATGGCTGTATAATTGTAAAATGGCCCATCCTCCCCACAATTTTGTTGTCTAAAAATGCCCCTTCCCCTTAAATAAATTCTGGAAATCACGATGGTGCCTTTTGTGACTCTTGATTCCCGTTTCATTTTGGGATTAACAAATCCGGGGGGGGAGGGGTATCATTGGACACATCCTGGCCCTTTCCTTGGTGCCAGCATGGGTAAATCCATCCATCCTTCCTTCCTTCCTTCCTTCCTTCCTTCCTTCCTTCCTTCCTTCCTTCCTTCCTTCCTTCCTTCCTTCCTTCCTTCCTTCTTCCTTCCTCCCTCCCTCCCTCCCTCTCTCCCTCCCTCCCTCCTCCCTCCCTCCCTCCCTCCCAAATCCTGCTGTGCTGGGGTGGACCAGAATCAACCCCCTCGTTTCTCCCTCCCTGCAGGAGGTGGCCATGCGGAAGCTGGTCCGCACAGTCATTGTCAATGATGACGATGAAGAGGATGAGGAGGATGGCATCCACGGCCACCATCACCACGTGAGTTTTTTGGGGGGTGCCCGGGGGAGGGGGCTCTGCCCGTCTTCTGAGGGCTGGATTCAATGTGGAACAAGCTAAGACTCAGCAGCAGTTGGGGAGGGTTTCGAAAATGCCAGCGGCTTTGGTTGTGGGGCAAGGACCCCCGTGAGAGAAATTCTTCCTCTGAAGCCGTTTGGATTTTTTTACCATGTTCTGCCGAGATTTTGTTTTGTTCATTAGTCTGCAACTGAGATTAAGTCTGCCTTCAGAGGATAAAAAAAGGCTTTTAAGAACCTTCCCTCCCCACCCCTAAATGACACTGAAAGCAAGCATACATGGGAAATACTCCTCAGTTTTAACAATTATTTTAATTATTCTCAAGTGTACAAATTGAAATATTTATATACCTAGTCTTTTGAACAAAATAGCAAAGAATTTTAATAAAGCTAGTATTTATTTATTGTTTGTTTTATTAATTAAATTGACATGCCATCCATGTCACTGACTCAGTCAACTCTGGGCGCCTGTCCCTTTGGATGGAGAGTGGGTGAAAATGATGTTAGGTGATCTCAGGAATCACAGGATGGACTCTTCCCCATCCACGGCTACTTAAAAAAATACAAAACAAACATCTCTTAATCAAAACCTGAAACCAGAAGAACAGAAGTAGAATAGGAATAGGAGTAGGGTAGGGTAGGGTAGGGTAGGGTAGGGTAGAGTAGAGTAGAGTAGAAATAGAAAATAAATAGAAATAGAAATAGAATTTTTATTGGCCAAGTGTGATTGGACACATAAGGAATTTGTCTTGGTGCATATGCTCTCAGTGTACATAAAAGAAAAGATACATTTGTCAAGAATCATAAAGTATAACACTTAATGATAGTCATAGGGAAACAGTCAATATAAATCTTAAGGATACCAGCAATAAGGTTACAGTCATACAGTCATAAGTGGAAGGAGATGGGTGGTGGGAAGAATGAGAAGATTAATAGTAGTGCAGACTTAGTAACTAGTTTGATAGTGTTGAGGGAATTATTTGTTTAGCAAAGTGATGGCATTTGGGAAAAAACTGTCCTTGTGTCTAGTCGTTCTGGTGTGCAGTGCTCTATAGCGTTGTTTTGAGGGTAGGAGTTGAGTCCAGGATGCAAGGGGTCTGTAAATATTTTCACAGCCCTCTTTTTGACTTCGTGCAGTATACAGGTCCTCAATGGAAGGCAAGTTGGTAGCCATGGTTTTTTCTGCAGTTCTAATTATCCTCTGAAGTCTGTGTCTGTCTTGTTGGGTTGCAGAGCGAAACCAAGTATTGGCTTTGTGTGCATTGGACACTTCAGACCACGTTGGAAATCAAGTTTAAGATTCAGCTAGTTAACATGTTTGCATTTAACAGGGTTGTAAATTTAACAAGCATGTTAAATAGAAAAATGCGTTTAGCCTCAATTCCAGTGTAATCTTTTATTGCTGGAATAATTAAACTTAACATATATTCTACATTGGGTTGTTTTTTTTAAAAGTCATTGTAGGCTTCAGCGCCCCAGAGCAAGCCAGAATCCTTGCAAGATATGAATCTGATTTTTAACTCAGGGTTGACCTGTGGGGTCCTTGGAGCTCTCAGGGCTTGGTGGTTTTCTTACAGATGTTTCATGACCCAATTGGCATTATATAAAGCCCTAATAAGACCACACCTAGAGTCCTGCATCCAGTTTTGGTCACCACACGATAAAAAAGATGGTGAGACTCTAGAAAGAGTGCAGAGAAGAGCAACCAGGATGATGAGGGGACTGGAGACTAAAACATACGAGGAACAATTGCAGGAACTGGGCCTGGCTGGTCCAGTGAAGAGAAGGACCAGGGGAGACATAATAGCAGTGCTCCAATACTTGACGAGTTGCCACAGAGAGGAGGAAGGGGGTCAAGCTGTTTTCCAAAGCACCTGAAGGCCAGACAAGGAGCAATGGATGGAAAGTGATCAAGGAGAGATTCAACCTGGAAAGGAGGAGAAATTTCCTGACAGTGAGAGCAATCAACCCATGGAACAGAAGTGTTGCCTTCGGAAGTTGTGGGAGCTTCATCACTGGAGGCTTTCAAGAAGAGACTGGGCTGCCATCTGTCAGCAGTGGTGTAGGGTCGCCTGCTTGGGTGGGGGGTTGGACTAGATGACCTACCAGGTCCCTTCCAACTCTGTTAATCTGTAAGTCTGTAAATCTGTAACATCTTCAGTGCGCTGATGAAGTTACCTAGTTTGGTAATGAAACATCTGCAATGAAACCACCAAATTCACAGAGCACCAAGGACCTCACAGATACGAATCCAGTATCTCCAGCCCCAGATGGGGTCTCAGTCCGGATGGTGCCAAGCTTTGCTCCTTACCCTCTTCCTTCCTTCTCCAGAGCCACTGCAGCGGCAGTGGAGATCCGGGCGAGTACAACCTGCGTTCTCGCACAGTGTTGTGTGGCACGTGTGGGCAACCGGCAGAAAAGGCCTCCGGGGGCACGAATGTGGGCACCAGCACCATGTCTACTGGCTCCTCCTCCTCCAGCTTGACCATCACACGCAGCTACCGCAGTGGAGGCACCAACCTTGGGGAGAGCCTCCTGCCTCGCTCCTACATCCTGGGCAGCTCCACCCCACGCCAGCAGGTCAGTCCCGGGGCACCCCAGCGGGCATGTCTGATCCTGGGCCGGAAGATCCTGGGCTCTGTGGTGGGAGCCCTCCGACTATGAGTGGTCACCCCCTCCTCCCGTTGCTGGGGAGGGCATGACACATATCACTGTGGGTCGGTGCTTTAAGATGCTTCCAGGAAGGCAGAGAGTTGGCTGTGGGCACCACAGAGCTTCCTGGCACCTTCTGTGCCACACAGGGCTCCTCAGGAGGCCAAGGCCTTTTGGAAAGCCTGGGATGGTCCCCACTGAGTAGCATGTGGCGGGTGGGCTAAAAACCCTGACAGCTGCATTCTGGCTCTGCAAAGTTCACACGAGAGCAATCAGCTCCAGTTGGCTCTGTGCCCAGGAGTGTATGGGATGCAAGCTCCTGCTTGAACCCCTAGGGGTTGGACTGGAAGACCTCTGAGCTCCCTTGCAGCCCTGTGTGTCTGTGAAACCCTCTTGAGGGTGGTTGGGACAAGGGAGGTACACTTTGGCTCTCATGTCTCACATCCGGTGGAATTGCATGGCTTGGATGGGGGTCAGGCAGCTCCCGTGTCGAGGTTCAGCCTAAAGCACGAGGACAGCCGTGGGTTCGTAGGTGTGCACGTTTGTGTGTGCAGTGGGCAGAGCCAGTCTGTACAGCCAGCACCTCGCCCACAGACCCCCGTCCCTCCCCACGGCCAAGCAAACGGACTCAGTGGCCCCTCACTGGGCCTGCTCAGTGGCTGCACTGGGGGGGGGGCTGCCGAAGATGCCCCTGAACTGCGGGACTTTTTAGGCAGAAAATTTTGCACTTTGGAAAATTGTTCTGCTGATGGTCTCCCCTGTTCCTCCCTGGCATTCAGGAGCTGGTGCAAATGTTGGTCGTACTGATCAGTTTGGGTGCAGAAATGGGGCTGGAGAGAGGTTGGAGCACACAAAGAGAGCCTTAGCTGGGGGAGGGAGGGCCTGTTGTTCCTTTGGGGCAGGGAAGCCAATGCCTCATAAGCATTTTGGATTGGCAGCCATGTCTGGGTCTCCCACAACTCGCTTGCTGGTATTTTGAGGGAGGCCTGATTCTGGATCAGCCCTAAATCTTGAATTAAGGAGAAATTTCCTGATTGTGAGAACAATCAGTGCTTCATCGATGGAGGCTTAAGAAGAGCTCTGTCAGCCACTTGTGTGGAATGGAAGAGCGTCTCCTGCTTGAGCAGGGGGTTGGGCTAGATGTCCTCTGAGGTCCCTCCCAACTCTGCATCCTCTCTCTCTCTCTCTCTCTCCCCTTAGGGTCCTTCGAACTGCAGCATCATGTAATCGTCCAATGTTCCCCGACATGCACTCAAAAGCCTGCTTTATGAAGCTCTCTGTCCTTTACATGCTGAGAAAAAGAGGAAACCATTTTTAAAAAAGTTATTTTCTATGCAAGAATTTATACTTTATTATATATCTCTATATATCTCTATATATAAATACGCTAAAGATGCTTCAGGGTTTTTTAAGGGGGTTGGGGAGGTCTTTTTTCTATCATGAAAGTTTAAAAGGAGCCCTGCCAAAGAGGTTAATGTATTATTGCCAAAAAGAAAAGAAGTCCTAGAATTTTAATATTTTACTTCTAGTAAGGGGGAGCATGCAAATGGGCATGATCTGTCTCTCTCTCTCTCTCTCTCTCTCTGTGTGTGTGTGTGTGTGTTTGTGTTTGTCCTTGAATACCAAAGCTTTCTTTTTGAAAAACGAAAAAAATCTTACCGTTTTTCTCCTTCTGGGTCAGTGTTTGTCAACTTCATCAACTTTAAGCTGGGTGGACTTCAACTCCCAGAATTTCCCAGCCAGCCCTCTCCCCCCCCCCATCTTAAAGTTGCTGAGGTTGTGAAACACTGCTCCAGTAAATTTGTTGCACTTAACATTCTCCCTGGGAGGGGTGTTGACCTCTAACTACGGTAACTCTGGTTAACTCCTGCCTTGCTTCCCAGCAACCCATGCACTTGAGCAAAAGAATCCAACTCTTTTGGAGACGCTACAAGCCAAGAGTTGACCTTTGTTTACATTTTGAAAATGGGAGGGAGACTTTCATACCGAACCCATTGTGGGTTGCAATGATACATGGGGGGTGTCTCATATTCAACCCTGGCAAGTTTAAGATGGATGAACTTCAACTCCCAGAATTCCCCAGCTAGTATGGGGGACTGCAGCATCCTGGGAGTTGAAGTCCACCCGTTTTAAAATTGCCAAGGTTGAGAAACATGAATTTAACTTCATGTCAAGTCCCCTCCAGCCCAAATCAGGTTGTTTAATGCCTGCATTAAAACACTTTAAGAGCTAGTAATTCAGGGATTCTTGAATTAAAATCCAAATTACCCTTACTTTAGAACTTCTAAAATGTCCGACCTACATTGTCCTCTGTTCAAAAACGCCAGGTGTTTCAGGGAAGCCCTTTCTGGTTCCATTCAGGATGACTTTGTACTTTTTAAACAAAATTTGACCTAACTCCCCCCCTGCAAAAAAGCTGGTCCATTGTCCAAACCTATCCACCCGACACCCCGCTTCACAGTTTGAAGGGGGAAATTAAGTTTACAGCCATTCTTTGCTTTGAGGAAGGTTTAGTAGAAAGGCCTTGTTTTGGCCTTTCCTGTCCTCTTTGTAAGAAGAGAAACTGCCTTTAGATGCCACTTGACCTGCTTTGCTTCAGCGGCAATGCTGATCTCTCTGCCCAGCCCTTTGCCCAACCCTACGAATGGCACATGGTGCCTGAGCATGTCTAGAGTGCCTTGACCAAGGTGGGGGATGCAGAAGTGGGCTCCTTGTGTCTGCCAGGGGAACCCCTGGGCTTCAGATCGCCTTCCAGGGCTCCAGAACTAGAGAAAAGTGCCTTCAACTCCCTGCTGTGGAACCAGCTGGGTTTCTAGTCAGAGCATCAAGTCAAGGGGGAGATGTGGGTCTTTGGCTTCCTGCCCTGAAGCAGAGCTGGTGCCTTTTGGCCGTGGGCTGGGGGAGGGGGAGGCGCCAGCTATGCTTTCCAAAATGGGCCCCACTCTGCTCCACCAGGACAGGTCCATGTCTTCTCCTGGGCTTGGAGCAGAGATCTGCAGACCCGTGTGGTGCCTTGAGGTCCAGGTTAAGTTTGAGAAACGTAGTTCTTGTATGCGGTTTGGGACTGGAAGCCTTACCTTAAACCTACGCTGGTTGGGGAGTCCTGGGAGTTGAAGTTCACACGTCTTAAAGTTGGCCAGATGGAGAAACATTGATTTAACCTGATGCTCCTCAGCCTTTGATGGGTAGCTGACCCGTGGATCTTTTCCTTGGACACCTCCCGCTCCAGAGGATCCATTGATGGGATCCCATGTAAAAGGCCAGATCCCTGTCCACCCCACCCCCCAGTCCCTTTGGATGGGCTGTTTGGGGCCCTTCCCCTTTGAGAATTTGCTGGGAAATGGTAAACCGTCTTGTGGGGAGGGACTTGGCTTCTCACCAAGGGGAGGATTGATGATTTCCCCGACTCTGCACGGCTTCCCGGAAAAGAGGAAGAGCTGCAGAGCTGCTCTAGAGGCAGCCCGTGGATGTCCTCTGCCCCCCTCCAGGCAAGTCCCATGTGCCTGGAGGGGGCCAAGCCTGAACCCCCCCAACCTGCCCTGCTCAGTTGGCCCAGAGTAGACGGTTCGCTCTGCTTCCAGCTGTGATTGGAGTAGGAAGCGGCTCTGATTCTGACTTCCGTGTCCCACGGGGGTCCCCCCTGCCCCCCCTTTTCTCCTGCCGTTTATCTGTTTTGCACTTGGAGAGAGAGGCCCTTTGGAAGCTCTTTGCTCAGGAACCCTGGCAGGATGGAGCACCCACGGCTGCTGTGGGGCGCCCTGCCTCCTTCGCGGGGACAGCAAGCCTGCCTTCCAATTGGGGGTGGGAGAGGAGGAGGGGGCGCCAATTACACCAGCCAACTGCTTGTTCCTGCCTGGTGCAGATGCTTGCTGATTGAGGGGGTGTGTGTCTTCTCTGCTCCAGCTGGGTCCGAGGCCTAGTCCTCCCCTTGCCAGGCTCTTTCTCTGTCCTCGGAAAGGGCACCACCTGGAGCAGCTCTGTGGAGAAGACACTCCCTTTTTCATTGTGCTGTTAATTTGGGGTGCTGTCGGGTCTGCCAAGGGCTGCTTGCTGCTCTGATGGCAATTGTGCAGTATTTGTATTTTCTTAAACCAATATAGTTATCCAAAACTACGACTGTTGTGTTTCTTTCATCGGGAATTGGGGGGGGGGCTCTGGGGGGGGTTGTTGGGGTTTGCTTGGCTTGAGGTTCCCACCCCACGTTTGGCTCCCCAGGGAGGCAGGGAGGGCACTTAAAGTCATCACACTGTCTCTGCACACAAAACCTCACCTGTTGGGATGCTGTCTGAGGCTGGAGAGGCGACCCATAGAAAAATACCTTTGGGGCAGAATGAAGCTGGCGTTGTCCTCCAGAGGCTGACACAATCAGTAGGGAAGACCCAGACCTCGGCCCCCCACCCCAGCCCCACTGCTGGCAGGGCCTGCTCTCTGGGGAGGACACATCCTCCCACGCCAGGCCAAGCGGCCGCTGAACCCATCAAGGTGATATCCGCAATGCTGTGACTCACCTGGAGGAGGGGGCACCATGCTGGGCTCCAGGTGGCCTGCCTGCTTCCATGTCCACTTCAGGGGCTTTGGCTGCAGGAAACGGCAGGAGCTCCCAGCGGCCAGCAGTGTCCTTGTGGTCTCCTCCCTGCCCTTTCCACCGCAGGCTCCTCCTCCCCTCGCAAGCACAGACCCTTCGCCCTGCCCCCCCAAAGCACCCGAGGGCAGGACCAGCAACAAAGATCATGAAAGAGAGATCCAACCTGATTGTGAAAACGATCCATTCAGTAACTTGCTTGCCAGAGTTACAGGGTCTCCATCTCTGGAGGTTTTCAAGGAGACCCATTTGTCCAGAATGGTATAGATTAGCATCTCCCGCTTGAGCAGGGGGCTGGACTAGAAGACCTCCGAGGCTCCTTCCAACTCTCCTCCCTGCTCCTCCCACCACCCCCGGCCCCTGGAAGGGGAGTGCTGGCTGGAGGTGGGTGAAGGAAGAGGCCGTGGAGGGGTGGGTTGTGATGGGGGAGGCAGCAGTTCTGAAGCAACCCCTTAAAAGAAGGAAAGGCATCAGCTGAGGAAGCAGCCCTGCAATTTTGATTTTAAGAGCAACCTTGGATCCCAGGAGTGATGTTAACCAGGTGGCCCAGAGACCTTGGTTTAAAGGAAACGGCAGCCATGGGTAATTGAACCCCCGTGGTGGACTTCAAAAACAGTTTAATCAACCCACTGATGAAGGGAGCTCCTGTTCCTGGATATTAGTGGCACAATTGCAAACCATTCCAGCAAGGATAAAATACCTTGTTTATGTCATTATTTATTTTTCAAATTTAGAATCTGCCCATCTCTCACTCAGGGATTCTGAGTGAAGTGAAATATTAAAACATAAAAACTATATAAAAATTACATAAGAGGCAAAGATAGTTTAAACCCAGCCACCCTGGCTCCCCTAAAATCTTAGGAAAGCTCTGGAAATTAAAAAGGTAAATCCAGGCAAATATGCTGGAGCTGTTGAATTGGTGTCAGAAAGCCTGACAGTGAGCACAAATGTTCAGAATTTTTTAAAAAGATTATTTAGATGTGTTCAAAAGAAAACAAAAATAATACATAGCTGCTTAATTAAGATAGCAAAATGCTGGTAGTCAATATATAAACAAAGTTATTTTACCACCTATTTTGGTCCAGTTTTACCCACAAAAAACCACCACCAAGAAATTGAAAAATGGGATTAATCTAGAAAAGCAGCTGTGAGGATGTTTCTGTGGGCCAGTCCCTCTCTTTCTGCGCAATCCACCTCACAGGGTGGTTGTGAGGAATAGAATAGGAGAAGAAAGGTATGCTGGATATGTTCACCACTTTCAGTTATTTGTAATAATAAAGTGGGTTAGAAATAATCTTGCAATGTAGACCACTTCACAGGCGACATGAATGCATCCAAGACGCAGGAGGGTCTGGCCAACTCTCTTATGGGTTACCTTGGAGAAACTGGGGGAAGAGGTGAAGCACCAGGTGAAGACAGGATAGCGTCTCAGTTTTTTGATCAGCTTTGTGGGAATGTTGGAGACGCTGATGGATGAAGTGTCATTCAGAGGTTTTCTCTCTCTCTCTCTCTCTCTCTCCCACCTGGTCTCCAGTAACTTTATCAAAGAACCCCATGAATTAGCAAGTCAGTGAAGCATGGAAGGACATGCCAAAGGCTCAAAAATTGAACTCTGTACAGGTAGTTCTCAACTTAAGATGACAATTGAGCCCAAAATGCATATTACTAAGTGAAACATTTGTTAAGTGAATTTTGCCCCATTTTACAACTTTTCTTGCCACAGTTGTTAAGTGAATCATTGCAATTATTAAGTTAGTAACATGGTTGTTAAGTGAACCTGGCTTCCCCATTGAATTTGCTTGTCAGAAGGTCGCAAAAGGGGATCACGTGACTTCAGGACACCGCAACCCTCATAAATATGAACCAGTTACCAAGCATCTGAATTTTGATCATGTGACCACGGGATGCTGCAATGGTCATAGATGTGGAAAAATCCTTTGAATGGTCACTAACTGAATTGTAAGTCCAGGACTTATCAGAGGTTCCAGATGGGACGGGAGAGTCAGGGAGCATTGTGTAAAAGCAATTCAGTTCTTGGCTCTTTTCAACAACTTTAACGACTTCTGACTTTCTTTGGTGCAGTAGATTACGCAAAAAAGCCTCCCAACCTTTTGCTTTACATTTGACAACATTTCAAGCCGTTTCCATACTTACAAAATCATTCTAATTATCAAAAATAAAATCAAAGTTTCATATTTTTTTCCAGCTTTGAGCAAAAAGTCCAGCGGCGATTTCCAACTTGAAGCAAAATTAGATAAATTCTTTAGTCAATTATGCCATTTCCAGAACATCACTGGACACACAACGATCAACACAAATGCATGCGATTAAGATATTGTACAAAATGTATTACGTATCAAATCAACGTTTGGATAAACGGTACAAAACGCCAGCTACTAATACGGAAACCCCAAAACCCCGGCACGTTGGAAGGCAAACTTTGGGTCAGGCAAAATGGGGCTCTATGGAAGGGCAAAAACACGCTGCTGCCCCCCCCCCCCCGCCCATTTCAAGGGAGCCTGAATGTTCCAAGGGTATTTTCCACAGGTGGCCACTAGAGGTCAGGAGCTGCCCGTTCTGGATTCGGAGGCTCTCCTGGAAAAAGCTGCTTTAAAGAGCGAGAAAAAAGGGGAAAGGCGCGTTGAGGCCCCCAACTCTTGAAGCTGCTGCCGGGGGAATTCTGGGAGTTGAAGTCTGAAAGGGGCGAAGGGCAGGCCAGACCCTCTCAGGGGGGCCGCTCTGACAGATGAGCAGAGTGGGAAGGGACCTTGTGGGTCATCTAGTCCAACCCCCCCCCCCCCCCCAGGCCATTTGCGCTTCTCTCCCCTCCCGAGCGGGCAGCCTCGGAGCCCCCCGGGGTCCGGCCAGGGCGGGGCAGGCAGCCCCGACTCGCCCCTTCGCAAGACCACCAGGCTCCCGTCCCGCAGCGCTGCCAGAGCGCCGTCGGGGCCGGCGAGGGTCGCCTCGGGGCCGGCCGGACCTCCAGCCGGTTTTTGGGGGGGGGCAGCGCCTCCAGGGCCGCGTTCTCCGCAGGCCGCCCCCTCCCCTTCCCTCCTCCCCCCCTGGCCGGAGCGGTCACGTGGCGGCGGCGCGCGGGCTGCTGACCGACCCAGCGCCCGTCCGGAGGCGGCCAGAGCGGCGGGGCTGCCCCGGAGGGTCTCCCGGCCGGGAAGGGGCGCCAGGAGAAGGCGGGGCCGCCGCAGGGCCAACTGCAGCCGGCAACGGGGCGCGAAGGAGCGGCCGCCCAGCGGAGCCCGGAGCCGGGAGCGTCCCCAGGTCGGTGTGGCGGCGGGAGGTTGCGCGGGGCTCGAGGCGGCTGCAACGGACGCGGCGGCGGCAGCAGCAGCAGCTCCCCCGGGCTGGGAGGTGGCCGGAGCGCCGCTTCCTAACTTCAGCAGGGAGCTCCCGAAAAGGCTGCCCGGCGGGCGAGCTCCGCGCCTAAAAGCCCCGCGTCCCCGGGGGAAGGGCGGCTCAGCGAAGCCTCCCGAGGCCCTTTCTTGAACCAGAAGTGCAGTTTTGGGGTGAGTTTTCCCAGAAAAGCCTCTGAAGTCAGCCCTTCTCAATTCTGGCAACTTTAACAGGGGCTGGACTTCCACTCCCAGAATCGGGGGTGTGACAAATGGTCATAAGTCTCATAACTTCGTCACTAACCGAACGGTTGGTTATAAGTCAAGGACTACCTGTATTTATTTGACCCCCCCTTTATTGTTTTATAACTAACTTAAGGTGGCAAACCTACCTGTTGCTCCTTCCTCCTCCTGTTTTGCCCATCACAACAGCCCTGTGAGGTGGGCTGGGCCGAGGGAGAGAGAGATCCAAGGTCAGCCAGCTGCCTTTCAGGGCTCACGCAGGACTAGAACTCACCACCTCCTGGTTTCTAGGCCTGCGCCTTAAGCAGCGCCAGGCAGCATCCCTTGGGCTGTTGTGTTCTTGTGGATGGTTCTCAGGAGGCTTTCTACTGTTTTGGTCTGGCCCTGACCTGACTCTGCCACCGTCCTTGTCCCAAGAAGTCAGCCCTTGTTTCTCACCATTTGCTGGCAGAGGAAAAAAATGAGTTGGCAGAATTCTGATCCCTTCCAAGATTTGAGCAACAGCTCCCCTGCCCTCTTGCTATCATCATCATCATCATCTTTTAACGACCCCATAATCCCTGCATGGAGCTAGCAGAGTGTTTACTGGCCAGATGCCCTTCCTGTCGCCAGTGCGGAGTCTTGTTGACAGATATATTCTCAGTGTGCCCAGAGAGAGAAATATCTGCCTCTACCTAGGATTGAACTCACAGCCTCCTGATTGTGAGGTGAGAGCTCCATCTCTAGGCACCACACCAGCCTGCCCTCTTGCTATGCTTGAGAGAAATCCAGAGTGTTAATTATGTGTAGAATTTATCTACTGCTCAGTCCTTATGGTCCCTGGGGAGTCTGTGCTGCACTCTGATTTTTAATACAGTGAAAGGGAAACATGCAGAGGAGTTATTAATTACGATTCATTAATTCAAGTTAAGTTCACATACTGAATGAATATAAGCGGTGCCCCTTGGGATCAGACCCTCAGTCCAGCTGCCTGGTTCTCATAACCAGCTGCCCACAGAAGCCCACCGCTTTCCCAGCAGTGGGGGCTCTTCCGGTGACAGTCCTGCCACCCAAGGCCAAGCCATGGATCTCCACAAAGCCATCAGGTCCGTTTTTGAAGCCATCTAGGCTTGCAGTAGCCACCATTTCCTCTCGTGCTAACAAATTCCAACATCGAATTACTTCGATATTTCCTTTTTTGTCTCCCCTGATTCTTCCAGGATTCTGTTTCATTGGGTGACCTCTGATTCTAGCATTTTGGGAAGGGGGGAATAGCTTCTCCTTGTCCCATTTGTCTATACTAAGGATAATTTTACACACCTCTCATTCCTGTCCTTTGTGGACTAAAAAGCCCCAAAGCCACAGACTTTCCTCCAAAGAAAACTGCTGAAGCTCTTGGATCATCTTAGTGAATGAAAGAAAAACTGTTTTTATCTTGA